ATTCTAATTTCTTTTCTTTTCTCTTTGGTGTGTTTTTACGTGTGTGGTTTATGTATGTACACAGGTGTGTGCATAGGTACATATCAGGATATTTTCCTCAACCTTTTCTCTACCTTATTTTTTGACACAAGGTATCTCTCTGAACTTGGAATTCACTCTTTTCGATAAGATAATTGTCTAAGGAGAACCCAGGATCCACCTGTCTCTACCTCTAGTACTAGGGTCATAGATGAGTGCTGCTACTCCTGGCTTTTTACATGAGTTTTGGGGATTTGAACTCAGGTCTGCCTGCTTGCACAGCAAATACTTTACTGACTGAGCTATCTTCCCAGCTCCCAAATCGTAATTTTTGAAGCGTGAATTTTTAGTTCTCATACATAAAGGCATAGGTTTGATCTCTGGCATTGCATATACCAGACATGTAGCACAGGTATGTAATCTTAGTAGTGGGAAAGTAGAGGCAGGAAGAGCTAAAGTTTAAGGTTATTCTTGGCTACATAGCAAGTTCCAGCCAGCTTAGATCATAAGAGATTTTTACCTCCAAAACCAAAAAAGAGCCTAGAACTCACTAGAGAGATCCTTTCCTCTTCCTCCCAAGTGCTGAGATTAAAGGGATATGCCACCATGCCTAGCCCCAAACATTTTATATTAAAAAACTAAAATTTTATTGAGGGAAACACAATAAGTATATTTTATTCATGTGTTGTGAGCAAAAATAATACTGTAAACATATCATATAACTTACTCCATTACCAAGTCTAAAACCATGTTATTAGTAAAGCTTAGTCTACTACTTTCCATATTTGTTGCTTTTAGCCCATGAGTTCTGGGAAACATTGGTTTGCTTATTTACCCAGGCATCAGTGGTCTGGAAATAATTTGAAATAAAATTTAACTTTAAAAGTAAACTAACTTGCCAGGTGGGTGGTGTATGCCTTTAACACCAGTATTCAGGAGGCAGAGGCAAATAGTTCTCTAGTTTCCAAATCAGCCTGGTCTACAGAGAAAGTTCCAGGATAGCTAGGACTGTACAGAGAAACTCTCAAAAAACAAAAGCAAACAAAGCTAAAAGTAATTTATTTGATTTTTTTTTTCTTTTGATATATGTAGCTCTGGCTAGCCTGGAAGTCACAATATAGGCCAGAGACTGTTTTTGCCTTTCCAGAGATCTTCCTTTCTCTGCCTCCTGATTGTTAGGATTAAAGACATTGTGTCCGGTGTTACTTTTTTTAAATTAAAAACTATTTTTGTGATATTGGACTGATTTTTCTATTAACTCACCCATTTCACTGCATGCTTTATGCATTTCATCAACATTGAGATCAAAGTTATATTATACTATTGATAATATGACTGAAAAACATCTGGAGTATGTTATGAGTAGAGAAAAAATTTAAAACTGCTTTCCTCATTGAGGTTGGGAATACATTTCTCACTTTTGAGGAGATTCATTTCTTTCATTGATGAACTAAACATTCCCTAGCCAGTATACACAAGGTGATATCAAATCCACAGACTAAAGATCAGTTTAACTCTCACAGAAGATTTTGGAATTAAATGTGTAGTTTTCAGTTTCTAGCCATAAAAATAAAGTATGATTTAGTATTAAGTATGATGTAGTATTAAGTGCTTAGTATTAGTATGAAGTGTGATTTTTAAGTATTAGGAAAATGTGCATTTAAAGTCAAAGTAAAATGCAGTATAACTTACATAAACTTAACACTGTTTAAGATCTTGCCCTAGTCTGTATTACACCTTATTTTTCTTTAATTCTTTTTGGTATCCATCAAGTACATGTGAAGGTTTGTAGTGAAATCACAGTATATAAAGGAACTCAGAGAGATTTTAACATTGAATGGGTAATAAACTGTTTTTAGGTTATGGCTTTAGGTTTTCAGATTCATGGATTTAGGTTTGTTATTAACATATTGCTATTGCCAGGGTAGTTCTAAGATCATCTTGTATTTTGTGGTACTTTGAGGTTACAAGGGATTGTGCCACAGAAAACTCCCTGCCTATATATAGGGTTCTACTGCCCTTGAATGACCTTGTGACAGAGCACAAATGCATCCTCCTGGCACTTTTGCTCACTATAAAGGTTTTCCATTACTGACTTATAAATTACCATACACTTGACATCTTAAGACAGTACAAAATTATTTTTGTAGGTCAGGAAATCTGGATTGACTTTTCTAGGCCCTCTGGGATCCCCCACTTTAAATCAAGAACATGAAAAGTCTATTTAATAATAAAGTTCTCTGTGATGTTTCAATATATGTATAGATTATGTAGCGTTTTAAAACAGGTTAAAAATCTCAGTCACCTCATTTCTGCATGATGAAACATTCAAAATCTAGCTTTTATAGGGCAATAGTACATAATCATAATCTATAAGAGCATCTTGCTTCTATCCATGTGTGACCTGGAACCCAGTGATCAGCTTTTCCTCATTTGCAGATGAGTTATCACAATTGCATTTACTCCGGGGGGGGGGGTGCGGATAGGGGGAAGGAGAGAGAAATGTTGTTACAAGTGACGAAATATCGTTGTATGCTTGGGATCCTAAAGCCAGAACCAGTGTGTTGAAAGTGTTATGTGCAGTTTGGAGTCTCTGGGGAAGAATCCACACTGCAAGGTCACTCAAGTTGACTTTGCAGTTGTAGAATGGCCATCCCTCTTCCCTTGCTTCCCATTGCCCAGGACTGCTCTTCGCTGGCTTGGTGAGGCTGAAATGCTTTCATGTGGCCGTCTCTGGCAGTGACATATCCAGGTCCTCTATTTCTAGCCCATCTGACTTCCTTTTTTGGTTAAATCTCTTACTCAAGATGGAAAAAGGTCTCTAGGTTGAGCACACCTGGATAGACAACAGGATATTCTGGTTTTTGGTATCTGTAATCTCTGAGTACCTGTAGAGTTCCCTTTTCTTTTACTATAACCACTCACAGGTTCCAGGAATTGGAGCATAGACCTTTTTAAATATATATTTTTGATTATGAAAACTTGTCTGCTTTTTTTTTTTTTTAATTTTATGTGTGTTTTACCTGCATGCTTGTCTGTGTGAGAGTGTTGAAATCCCCTGAAGCTGGAGTTAGACAGTTGTGAGCTGCCAGATAGGTATTGGGAATTGAAGCTGGGTCTTTCTGAGGAGTAGCCAGTACTTTTAACTGCCGAGAGCCATCTCTCCAGCCCATGGAGCATGGACGTTTTGAGGGACCATTCTATCTATTACAAATTGACTCCTTAAAATATTTTTGTATGTTTAATTAAAGTCACTGAAAAATATAATTTCTGGCTGATTTAGATATGGTCGGCACTCTTAATAAGTATCTAATAGCATATTTAATAGTATCACTGGTTTTGAAATCAAGCTAAGTTTAGTGGTTGAATTTTTCCTTTTTCTTTTCACTTTTTCTTTCACAGTGTATTTTTCAGATTCTATTTCAAAAGAGGAAGAAGTAGTCACTAAATGAAAATTGTTCTTGTTAACTACAGAGCATATGGAGAATTCATAACATTATTGAACACAGGACAAGATAGAATTGATAAAACCATGCTTAGAAGAAATACAGTATAGGAAAAGAAGATTTATACATTTATTAATGGAGGCATAGGGCAGTCTTATTTAAAATTATCCATATTTTAAACTGCAAAGCCAGGGCAGTATGTCCAAATAAGATTTGGGGTAAGTGAGGAGTATAGGGGACTCAGGGAAAGGGGCAAGTTGAAGACTTAGAAACCAAGCATCCTTTGGGAAGCTTTTATGTGACATCATTAATACAGAGCCTTTAAGGTTGTGACTTTGTAAATTTGCCCCAATCTTGCTTACATACAATCTTACCATTTACCACCCAGGACTTCTCTTGGATATATTAGACTCTTGAGTTTGTGGCTAAGAAAATATTGGTTCCTCTTTAACACCTGTCCCCTGGGCTGTGTTCTGGTAGTGTTTGACTCTCCATAGAGTGTTTACTGTTGGCAGTCCTGGTACCTTTGTGTGGAGACATTACCTCTACCCCCAGGTTAATTATGTTCAGATGTACAGAAAGTGGGTAGGATGATATTAGTGAAGGAGAGATTCCTTACATCTGTGCCTTCCAAGCTTTAAAAAGTGTTACTTTAATGTTTTCCAAAATCTAGATGATTATGAGTAAGTCAAGCTGTGCAGGAGAGGTATGGCTGGTTATGCCTCTTGCTTGAAGGGTTAATTGCCTTGCTGTGTTTCATAATGCTAGTTCCAGGTCTTTTGTAAACAATGCTGAAATAAGAACATAAACATCTGTGTGCAGATAGGGCTGCCTAAAGCTATGCTTGTAAAATGAACATTTCTCTAAAAAAAAAAATAATAATAATTTGCAGGAATGTATCTGCCTGATATATGTGAGCATTTTTTCATCACACAGAGCAATCGGTAAAGCCAGTGTGCAGGTGATAAGGAAGAGGGAGCAATCATGAATAGCAGAATGACATTCTAAGAGCAGAGGAAAAAATGATTTGTACTTTGGGAGAGTAAACTCATACAGACCATCCATAAATCTGTCCTTTGAATTGCTGTCCCATTTATACTCTCATTTTGCATTTATGTTGCTAAATATCTTCTTTGAGTCCTTTCTCCAAAAGGAACAGTTTGTACTTAAAACAGAATTTTTATTTTTGTCAGCTTTGAAATGAGACACCTTCTGGTTTCTGACTTTGTACTTTAAGATATTAAGCATATTAAGTTCACTAATATTCACACATTCACTAATCCTAAAGGAAAGTGTTGCCCTTCTTTCCAGTCTTACAGGAAAAGAAATTTCCCAAATTCTTAAATGGCCTGAGAATGGGGGCTCATTCCCAAAGTAATGGTACCTACTGTATGGTGACCATCTTGCTGAAACATTTGAGATTTTGGAATAAACTTTAATTTTATATGCTAAGATAAATAGTAGGCAAATGTTAAATAGAACATGTATGTTAAACAGGGTAACAAGTGTATTCTCTGCTTCTCTACTTTTCTCTAGAGACACTAGATGGCAACTTGGGAAGTGCTGCTTGCTTAGCAAGAGCTTAGGGATTCCTGTCAACAGAGTAAAGCTCATGGCCTGCCAGCTACAAAGGTAAGGGGGTTTGAGCTTCTCTCAGAACTGCTAGCTCTCGTGTGTGTGTGTGTGTGTGTGTGTGTGTGTGTGTGTGTGTGTGTGTGTGTGTGAGCACATATACATGTGTACACATGCACATGTTGAGGCCAGAGGTCAATGTCAAGTGTCTTCCTATTTGTTTCCACCTTAGTTTTTGAGACAAGGTCTTTCACTGAACCTGGAACTCACTGATTCAGCTAGACTGACTGGCCAGAAAGCCCCAGGGTTTCTCCTATCTCTGGTCTAAAGTAAAACTTTGAATTAAAATTGCTCTTTTTCATAAGGATTGGTCTCTAAAATATTAATGAAAATAACAGCTGTTTCTGTTCAACAGTTCTCAAACACTAGTATCGTATAATGTTAATATTCAGTGTAGGGGTTAGGGGATGAAATCTGGAGGGTTAGTAAATTTAGAAATGGCCTTTTGGAGATGGGATGTGTATTAGCATGTGAAAACACACTGAAGACTTAAATTCTTTAGTTTTTCTTAATCCAAAAGTTCTTAAACTTAGCTTTTTAGCAAAGAGTAAAAAAATAAAAGTTCTAATTTACCTAAGAATTTTAATTGTGGTAACCGAAGTTAATCTACAGAGTGTTTTGTGCATTACAGAATAATGTGAGGCAAAAAGTTTACGTATTTTGTAGCCATGTAAACTTATTTGCTTGTGGAAGTTTATCGCCGTAAATGTTGCCAGCCAACCCAGAAACATCAAGTTGAAGTTACATAGTTTGTCCCTCATACCTTTTTGAACATGTACATGCCAACCACAAGGATGTTAGAGAAATGAAGAATGGTGATTTTGTGTGCAAATCATTTATTGTTTATGTAGTTCCTAAAAATGGAAGGACAATAGCAATTTAATAATAATAGGGGCAGTCTGGTTTGCAAAATTTCTCCAGATGTGGTGAACTAATGATAAAAAAATTGATAAATGTTAATTCATAAATTGATATATGTGTTTCTTCTTGAGTCTTGGGGTTCAAATCAGAGAAATTGCATAAATAGGCAGCTTCTCCTCCCCCTCCCCAAATTAAGGAGAAACTGAAAACTACATTTATTTTTAAAAGTAAACCAGCCAGGTGATGGTGGTGCATGCCTTTAATCTCAGCACTTAGGAGGCAAAGGCAAGTGGATCTCTTTAAATTCAAGGCCAGCCTTGGTCTACATAGTGAGTTCCAGGACTACACAGAGAAACCCTGTCTGAAAAAACAAAACAAAAAAATAGTAAATCATTTTAAATCAATTATGAAGAAGAGAGAGAGAACACTGATAATTTTTTTTACACACTTAATTGCATTTTGAGTTACTTGATGTGCAAATTAATGATCTGACTAAAAGTATTCTCCATTAGATTTATTCCCTGAGAAGGAGATACTATGTCTAAATCATTGTACCCTGGAGTCTAGCATAGTTAACACTTGTACATATGAAATAGTGTTCATTGACTTCATTCTGAGGCAAATAAGATTTGAATTTCAGCATAGAGGGATAGTTAATGAGGGGGATCAGTGATTGGTGTCAACTGAAAAGGGATGAATGAGTGGTCTTTACTGGTGTTCTAGGATGAGGAAGGGAGCTAACTAAAACCCTGCATAAGTAGGGACAGACTAGAGAAAGCATAGGCTGGGTTGGAAGGCAGGCATCAGGCTGCAGGGATCTGGAAACAAGTATTCTAAGAGGATTCTTTTTTCATAACTGGTCCTTTCCTCTCATTTTGGGTAGCACTGCTTGATTTCTGATTATCATTCATTCTTGAATTTAGCAGTATCCTGTTTTTTTTTTTTGTTTGTTTGTTTTTGTTTTTGATGTAGTGTTACCTTCTCTTAGCCACCATTTACATTTTTATTAGTGATTTTGCTAAATTAAAAAAAAATTCAATTTAGGGCTAACGAGATGACTTTAGTGGTTAAGAGCACTTGCTGTTCTTCCAAAGATTGAGAGGTCAATCCCTAGCACCTGTATCAGCTGGCTCACAACTGCTTGTAACTTCAGTTTTAAGAGGACCCACTGTCTCTGACCTCTGAGGACACCTGCCCTCCCATGCCACATACAAATACATGCACTGATTAAAAATAATAAACATTACTCTTTTTTAAAAAATTTAAGCAAGGTGGCAGGGTCCAGCCTGTATTAGTCCCACGCTACAGAGGCCATCTATTCTGGACTGATGTCTTTGGGGCTGTGATTGGAACCAGCGGAACAGCCCCAGGTCCAATCCTGAGTGGGGGAGTGTGAATCAGGAAGCCCTAGCCATCCAAAGGAGTTGAGAACAAGACAGAGACATCTTGTCATCTCAGGAGGGCTCTCAGTCAGTACTAGAGACCACTGTTTATTCAAGCATCCTTTTAAATAGCTTTCCAAAAGTTGGAGTACTGGCAGAAACATCTATTATCATGTATAGAGCAGATATTTCCTTTAATCCTAGGGATGGTTCCAGAAAGCAGTTACACAAGCCCCCAGACTTTCGTAACAGCCTTACTAGTCCCTAGGCTTGCCCCACCAACCCTCATGATGGGTGTGGGTCCACCCAGGGGCCTAGGTCTATTGTTATACAAACTAGGAGATAGTCTCCTCTGTGGCCAAGCCATCTGGAGGCAACCAGCCCATATCTAAAAGACAATGGGAAATTCGAGCTCCTGGAATGGAGCTGAGGCCTGTATCCGAAATATCAGATTCAAGATTTGGGCCCAGACAGCCAAGTATTGTGGTACACTCCTGTAATCCCAGCACTTGAGAAGCAGGAGGATCAGGCATTTCAGGACAGCTACGTGCCACCCAGTCTCAAAGAAAAAAAAAAAAAAAAGGAAATCAATCTTGTGCATATCTTTAGTCTCAGCACTCAGGAGGCACTGGCAAGCAGATCTCTGGACTTCAGGGCCAGCCTGATCTATGTAGTAAGTTCCAGACCAGCCAGGGTTGCTTAGATGAGACTTTGTTTCACAACACATAGGGTGTGTGTGTGTGTGTGTGTGTGTTCAATTTTTTACAGCAAGGTTGAATAAACTTTCTCTTTTTCTTTCTTTTTTCTTTCTCTTTTTCTAAGCTAGGACAGCTCTGGCTGTCCTAGAACTCAGTCTGGAGACCAGGCTAGCCTCAGATTCCCAGAGATCTGCCTGCTTCTACCTTCTGAGTGCTGGCATTAGTGTGCGTCACCCCCTCCCAAGTGTAAACTTTTCTTTAAAGGTGCACTTAGAGTCTTTTTGAGGACCACATGTGATCTCTATTGCATATTCTTTGACCACTTCTTCTCCTTCCCTTGCCATTTAAAATTGTGAACCCTTTCTTCCTTTGTCCTAGGACCATAGTTTATGAGCTTGGGGAAAGGTCATAGTTTATGAGCTTGGGGAAAGGTAAGATGGGTGGGTGAGAGTAAGATCCAAGATCCTTTCTTTCCATGGTTTTAAAGACCCTCAGCATTTGCTTATTCTGACTTATGTTGACTTAATATGAAATCCCACGCATCAGCCTTCAGAAGATCTGTCAGTATATTGTTGTTATTATTATTATTACTACTGTGTGTGGTGTATATGTGTGCACATGGGCACACATATTCATAAGTATGAACACACATATGCCACAACTTGCATGTACTACCTCAATTGTTGGTCTGTTACAATAAATCTTTCCGCTAAAAGCCGCTGGAGCCCCACCGCCACATGTGTGCTTTACACCAGCCGCCCGCCCAAGTTAGGGCTCAAATTAATGCACAGAGAGACTTGTATTAGGTTCAAATGCTGCTTGGCCAATGACAATGACTAGGCCAATGACAATGTTAGCTCAGTCTTAATTATAAGTCTATATATTTTATAAGACTTATCTAATAGAGGATGCCTTTCGCTGGCACCCTGACTTGCCAGTGGCTCACATGGCGCCGCTGGAGGAAGAGCAGAGAGGAAAAGGGACACTTCCTGTTTCTCCTTGCTTAAATATGAGTCTCCTTGCTATGTCACTTCCTGCCTGGATCACCACTTCTCTACTACATTTCCCAGAATCCTCTTTGACTCCTAGTCCTGTCTAACTTGCTGTTTCATTGGCCAAACAGAACTTTATTAAACAATCAAGATAAACATATATAGAAGTACTTCCCCCATCATTGGTCCCTGCCTTTTACTTTGATTGAGATAAGCCCATGCCCCTCCCCTCATTTCCCCCCACTGTGTATATGGCCCATGAGCTTCTGGAGGTTTTCTTTTCTGCCTCCTTTCTCTGTAGGATCACTAGGTTACCGATGGATACCATCTTGCTGGGCTTTACATGTGTTCTGTGGATTCAGACTTAAATCTTCTTGTTTACACAGCAGGTGCTTTGCCTACTCAGGCATCTGTTTTATTGTAACTTAATATGTTACCTTCTCTTGTGTGATATCATAGCCTACTAGCTTGTCTTTTCCTTTGAAAAGGCTCAACTCAGGCCTTTGGCAGTTTTCCCATGCCCCCTCCAAAGTTTACTAGGTACTTTGGGAACAGAAACACCATCAGATAAATTAATTTTAATATGAATTTTTAAAAAAAATCGGGAACACATGATCAGAAATCCATGTAATAAGTAAAAGCCTGTGACTATGCGTATAACTTAGTTGTAGAGCACATGCCTAGCAAGTACAGGTCCCTGGGTTTAGTCTTTATCAATTCATGTGTGTGTACATGGACACACACCATAGTCATCTATATTCAAGAGAGAGAATTTTAGACTCAAATATAGCCATTGAAAATGATATCTAAGATAGGCATTGTAGCTCCTGCCTGTAATTCCAGGATGGGGAAGGCAGAAGTGTGAAAACTGTTCAAAATTTGAGGCCAGCATGATCTACAGAGCAAGTTTCAGGCCAGCCAGAAGTATATAGTGAGGTACCATCTCAAAAATAAAGTGCCTGTTATGTTTTTGAAGAAAAAGAGAAAAAGAGGCGGATGAGACATAGGATGAGACATGTTAACCAGTTTTTTATAAGCCCGGCAGAGTAGGGAGACTAAGAGAGAAGAAGAACAGGGGTAATGGCTGACCGCCATGGCTGGTCGCCATAGAGAGGCAGAGAGAGAGTGTAAGCGAGAGAGTGAAGAAGCAACAGAGAGAGTAGAGAGCAGCAGAGAAGTTGGAACTTTTAAAGGGAAGACTGCACATGTGCACTGAGGTTCCACGCATGCCCAAGTCCTCATGCATGCGTAGTGGGATGTGGTGATGGCATGTCCCTGTGCGTGCCCTGACTCTTGTCAGGGGGCGGGGTCTGTCACTTAAAGAGATATTGCCGATAAGCATTAAAGCCTGAACCTTTCATTCCCACCTCTACTTATTATTTAAAAAGGTGGGGTGTTAGACATGGCAGGGGAAGGAATAAGGGGGTTGAATTCTCAAGACTGCTTCCTGCTGGCGTGGGGGGCGTTGACCATCTTTGGGGGACCTGAGAAGATTGGGATGCTGCCACGTCCTGGGGTAGCTGGTTGTTTCATTGCAGTCCAGGCTGTGCAGAACTCCCTGGTGCCTCTTAGACCTGTTTGTTTGGATCCAATTCAGCTCCCTGGAACTTACAAGAATCTTAGAGTTTGTGGAAACATAAGTATTAGACACATTAGCAGCATATTCTTGTTAGAAGCAACTTGGCTGAAAGCATTACCATTTTAAAATTGACAGATATTTTTTTAGGGCAATGAAAAGCATCTTAATCTTGACCTAGTAGTTATGATCATACAGTGGTATTGTAGAACTGATTGTGAACAGTAGCATGAGAAAAATCAGGAACATATTTCATTCTTTTTAATGTCTCAACTCACTTTATCATCACTTAAGCCTTTTTATCCTTAGACCTTCATAACTAATTCATACACCTTACATAACCATCTTAGACCTTCCAGTGCCATTTAATATTAGTGGCATTACTATTGAGTACTATGGTAGAATTTAGGTAAATGCTCTTTAAAGCTATAAAAAAAAACTATATGATTTTTGAAATTATATATGTCCACATGTTGACAAGACTGAAATATGTGCTGCTATGGACTTTTAACAGCAGTTGTCTCTGAATGGTGATACTCTAAGTGACTCCTGACCTCCCCTACCTCCACCCCTTTTTTGTATTTAAATTTTTTTTACTAAGTTCAACGGGTACAATTTTGTGTGTATTCTCAGAAGGAACATGTGATCTTCCAAACGTCAATTAAAACATGAACTTTAAGTATTTGTTTTGCTATTTTTGAATGATATAATATTGGCATATGCAGGATACCCAGTTTCTTAATTTTTTTTATTCTCAAAGGAGTTTATGTTATTTAGGTTTTCACAATCTGGTAGGTACTTTAATTTTAGCTTACATTTTTGGGTAAATTTAGCTATAATTATCATTTTACTTTATGCTCACAAATGAGTGCATTTCAACAGTTTAGTGATAAGTTTGGTTAGTATACCATAGCTCTCAGTCTGCAGTAAGATTATGACACCTTACTCAACCCATATGATAGTTTTTGGATGGTTTTGTTTGGATATTGTTTTGAAAACAAGTCTTAAACTGTTGTCCTGGTTGATCTAGAACTCACTGTGTAGCCTAAGCTGACTTCAAGCTCAGGATGTTCTTCTTTCGTAAACCACAGTAGCCAGTTCTAAACCAAGTTATACAGCAGTCAAATGGGAAAAAAGTGATGCTTCATGTTTTTACATATAGACTAATTTAGAAATTTATCAGTGGAAAAATTAATGATTAATAAGGAGTTATTACCCAGTGTTTATAAAATCAAAGTTATTTTGGTATATATTTTCAGTAGCTATAAATTTATATAAAGTCTCTTTTTAAGTTATTGCTGGTCTGGAGAGTTAGAGCCTCTATAACAAAAAGGAGGGATCAGAAGCCTGGGGTAAACCACTTTATCATCAAGCCATCTCTACTACATCTTGCTTTTGTTTTAAGAAAAAAAATCAGTGACTTCCATTTGAGTGCTTATAGTAAACAAATCATTGAGTTTATTTATTTTACTCTCAAAAGTATATTTGAGTAATTGAGTTAAAGCTTGGCTCTGAAAACAATGTATTCATTCTCTGATGTAGGATCTGTAGGACTAATGTCTTACTCCCTCATACAACAACACTTGGTTAACATTAAAGTTTCTTAAACTTAGTTCACTTCTCTGTTACTTGATGTGGCTAATCTCTGACCTACACCACCAGTACCAGGCATTTGTGTCCTCACCGGTACGGAAACACTGGAATGCAGCTATTTACAATTTTCTTAGGAATGGGAATACAGTATTTTAGATTCTTCATAATTTTATTAACTTCAAGTCATGCACTTCACAAGCCATTTATAAGTGCCCTTGGCAGCTTCTGTTATATAAAAATATTTTCAAACTTGCTGTGAAAACATGTTGAGCCCCAATTTAAAGGTTTGAGATTTAGATTATCAGAGATAACACTTAGAATCTCTTAGAGGAATTGTTAGCATTTCTATCTGTAGATGTTTGAACTGTTATTTTAGTATTTATAGCTATCTCCACAGGGTATTACATAATAGTGATAAGAGCATGGTTATTTGTGTCAGTTTGCTAGGAAAGTGGCTATCTAGGTGAGGTACTTATTTTGGAGGAAAACAATAACACTTGAAGGTACCAAAGGTCAGCTTCTTAAGAAGCATTTTTAGAACTATCAATTTGTATGTAGTTAAAATTTAAATGTTTCATGCATTTAACTGAGTGATGTGTTGCCTTAGGTAGCTAACTTACAGATAACTGCCTTGCCCTGCCTGAGCTTACAGTTTGTTGGTGGTGACAAAAGCATGATAAGATGTTCTTTGGATTATCCTAGTGTTCCTCTCTTCATAGGCAGCATTGTACAGTTAGAGGTGAGTAGAGAAAATGGTCTATTTTACCTGGGATAAGGGAAGACAGTTTCTTCTCCCCATCTCCTAAACTAGGGTAGTTTTGTCCCAAGACTTGCTGCTATAGCCAGTGGTACATTTCTGCATGGGAATTACCTACTTTTTCTGAGCAAGACATTGAACACACATAAACAAAATTATGAAAAATATAATTTCCCCATACACCATTAATTTATTTGGGATGAGAATACGTTTACTGTGTTTAACAAATGATAGGGGAGAGGAACGTGAGAGGAAGAGCTGGGATGGGCGAAATGGCTCAGTCAGTAAAGTACTTCTTTACTGACTGGTAGATCCAGTACAAGCAGGATCGCACTTCTCTGGGGAGAGGGGAGCACTACACTCAACACGCAGAGAGGGGTGGTTTCCTGAAGCTCATGGCCAGCCAGTCTAGCCCAGAGGATGAGTTCCAAGCTCAGTTCCAAATTCAGTGGACAGAACCTATTTTAAAAGGTAAGGTAAGCCGGCAAGTGGTGGTACACACCTTTAATCCCAGCACTCAGGAGGCAGAGACAGCTGGGTCTTTGCAAATTTGAAGCCAGCATGATCTACAAAGTGAGTTCCAGGACAAGCTCCAAAAGCTACAGAGAAACTCTGTCTGGACAAACCAAAAGAAAAAAAGAATAAAGTGAAAGACATGTAAAGTGTACCTCTGTAGACATTTGTGTGAATCTGCATGCACATGTTACATATACATAAACAAGTACATACCACACAGTACACATACTGTATATAGAAGCACACCAAATAAAGTTGGCAGATTTCTTTTTAAGTGGGCCATTTACCTTGTTTCAATTTGATTTGTATCTATATATATTTGATTTGCTTATATTTAAGATAACATTAAATAAGTAGGTTGTAAAGTTATGGAAGAGGAAATTGTATATAGATCATTTATATTCAGGAGCAAATGAATTTTGATGACTTTCTAAGTAGTAATTTTAAATTTTAAAGTGTGTGTGTGTGTGTGTGTGTGTGTGTGTGTGTGTGTGTGTGTTGTTTTGTGACAAGGTATCCCCATGTAACTCAGGCTGGCTATGTAACCCAGGCTGGCTATGATCTTCCTGCTTCAGCCTTCCTTAAGTGGGGATTTTAGGCATTGTACCACCAAGCCTGCCTTGGGTCTGGTTTTTCCTATCAGATTTCAAATGTTAAGAAAAAAAAATTCTGTTTTATGTATCTGTAGTTTTTTTCTTGTCCGCTAGGTCCCATCACCATTGAGCCCCAAATAAGCACACAAAGATTTATATTAATTATTAGACTGATGGCCAATGGCTAGGGCTTCTTATTGGGTAGTTCTGTCTTAATTATTAACCCATTTCTGTTAATTCTATGTGTTAACACGTGGTCTTGGCTTACCAGAGAATGTCCAGACCTGTTTCTCCTTTGGCAGCCACATGACATCTTCACAGAGCCTCTCTGCCTACCTTTCCCAGAGTTCTCCTCATCTCCTGCCTCAGTTGGCCAAACTTTGCTTTATTCATCAACCAATAAGAGAAACATATATACAGAAGGACATCCCCCATCAGTTTTAATGGCTGCTGTCAAACCATGCCCTAAGGGCTAAATTAAATTCTTCCTCCTTTCTTAACCCTTTCATGGACTTGATGGATTAATACCTCTAATTAATGCAATGTAAATTTTCATATTTCAGAAGTAATTATTGTTATAAATATTCTTGTTTTTTGATGAAATAATGTTGAGAGTGATCAAGTGCTTTCATTTTCAAAATCAATGCATTTCAAGACATGCTTCAGTGCTATTTGTAACAATATGAAACCATTTTGTTTTTCAGTATCTTTGCCATGAAACAGAGGACATGATAAGCTGTTTAACTTAATGAAATTCAAGTTACATGTGAATTCTGCCAGGTAAGTGCATGATACAATAGTTAATATTTTGAGCCATGTTTCATATTATAAGTTAAAAACTTTATTTTTAATAAGTTGTACCTACTAGATAAATATTTCAATGCTTTTTCTCTAAATCTGAAGCTTGTTATTAGTATGTTTGTTTAGTTGGTACTCATTTCTGAATTATCTAATTAAGATCATTAAAATAACTGGTGTAGTGACATAGATGTGTAATCTCATTATAGAGACAATCCACCCCAAGATTAAGGCCTGTGCTATGTAGCAATACCCTGTCTAAAAAAAGCAAACCAATGAAAAAGATTATCTAAATACATGTATTATGGTTTTAATGTCTTCTAAAATGAGTTCTTGTGATACGTTAGAAAAGTGTACAAATATCAAATAGCAGTTGCAAAATGACAAATCTCAAGTCTTCTTGGTTCAGTTTATCTGGTGCTAGGATCATGAGGTCACATCAGTGCCTTGCTTTAAAAAAAGCAAGCTATAAGTTATTAAAAGGGTTAATTTGAATCTTTAAGTGGAAATTCCGAAGTATGAAAGTAATCTTGACCCAGAAATGTATTTTTTATTTATTTTTGTTTTTTCAAGACAGGGTTTCTCTATAGCTTTGGCGCCTGTTCTGGAACTCACTCTGTAGACCAAGCTGGCCTCGAACTCATAGAGATCCACCTGTCTCTGCCTCCCAAATGCTGGGATTAAAGGTACCACCACCACCTGGCCAGAAATGTGTTTTTATAGTTGTATTTGAATCTGGATCAAAATTGTTGGCTAGTGTGTCTATTGGATCTTCATTCCTTCTGCTCTTCCTCTTTCCCTGTGAATTTTACTTGTTGAAAAGACTGGGTAATATGTTTTGTTTTTTGTTTGTTTGTTTTGTTTTGTTTTGTTTTCCTGGTGGTGTTTTTTTTTTATTTGAATTAGAAAAAAGATTGTTTTACATGTCAGTCCCAGTTCCCTCTCCCTCCCCTCCTCCCCAACTGGGTAGTATCTTAAGAAATGTTTTTATGTGTTGGTTTGAGCTGATTGCTTGCTATTGGTAATATTAAATATGTTTCGTATGCTCTGTGTTGTTTTTTGTTAACTAGAATCAGCTCTAACAACAACTCTTCATCCTCTGTAATGATTTTATTTCAGTTCTGCTGTTCAATTGATATGTGTTGTCAGCTTGATCTAAACACTAAAGATCCCATCACCTTTCTCCCAATATTGTGGTTGTGTGGTTGTGTGGTTGTGTTGTTACTTTGAGACAGGGTTTCACTATGTAGTTCTGGTTGGCTTTCTTTGAATTCTGTTTCTACTTAATGGTTTTTGTTTTTAAGTAAATGATTCTTTGATGGTATGTAACCATTTCAGATTCAGAAGGTTTTTCTGGAACACACATGTGTGGATGAAAGTACTTGTATTATTTTTGTCTTATTTCTTAGATGGACTATTTTGGTTTTGCTTGATACTGAAGTATAAATTACACACTTGGACCAAAATACACTTGTGGAGTTTTGTTTTGTCAATCTTTTGTTGATGAACATTGCCTTTTGGGTTCTTTTAAAGAAACAATAAGCGCTAGAAAGATGGCTCAGCAGTTAAGAGTACTTGATGTTGCTGTTCTTCCAGAGGATCTGGGTTTTGTTCTCATCACTCAGATGGCTGCTGGGGATCTGGTATGCTCTTTTGGTGTCTAATGGGTACCACAACACACAGTGCACATACTTGTAGGCAAAACACTCACTAATGAAAAGTAAAAGTAAATCTAAAATAGAAACTTGCCTACATTAAAATCACATTCTAACACTCTGACTTGATTTGTGTGATGTGAAGTGGCCAAAGGTAGAATCTGTGGGTTTTGTTTTTTCTTGATTTAGCATAGCATTAAAGACTTTAAAGAACTTAAAAATGAAACCTGTATGTAACATTTGCTAAATTATTTGGATGTAGAAAAATCATTTAATGATAGTTGCTTTATGGCCCTCATTTCATGCTCCCTTTGGGATTTATATTTCATAAACAAGTTACATGTGTGCTTCAGGATTTGTTTTGTGGGGCACTATAATAAAAAGTACAGATTGAATAAAAATGAATAATTATTGCTTGTTAAGACCCTTTTATGGCCAGGTGTCGGTGGTGGTACACACCTTTAATCCCAGCCCTCAGGAGGCAGAAGCAATTGGGTCTTTGAGTTCGAGGCTAACCTGGTCTACCAAAAAAAAAAAAAGAGAGATCCTTTTATGTACCAAGTTATTCTTAAAAAAAGTATCTATTTTACTGTAAAGTCTCTCTCTATATATATGGTAAAATATATAAAATATTCTATGAACCAACAATATTTACTCTTTTTCTTTCAGTTTTTATCTTCCTTAAGTTATATTTTTCTTTCCTTGCTTTTTTTTTCAAGACAGGGTTTCTCTGTGTGGCTCTTGTTGTACTAGAACTCACTCTGTAGACCAGGCTAGCCTCAAACTCAGAGATTCACCAGCCTCTGCCTCCCAAGTGCTGGAGTTAAATGCCAGCACCAACACACCTTGGTGAGATTTTTTTTAACTTAATTTTCTTTTATTTTGAATATGATAATACTGAAGTCTTAATTTTTGCCATTCATTTTGCTTTTGCTGCTTCTCTGAGCTTCCAGAGTCTGTGGTGTTGTATGTTGATAATCAAAAACAAAACAAAACTCAGCTGTTATTAACTAAAATAGTTTCTTCCTTCCTTTCTTTCTCTTTCCTTTTTTCTTCTCCCTCCCTTCCTTCTATCCCCCCCTCTTTCTTTCTTTCTTTCTTTCTTTCTTTCTTTCTTTCTTTTCTTTGTCTTTCATGAAGCAAATTCTCACTCATAGTCTAGGCAGGCCCAAAATCACTAGGTAGCCCAGGCTGGCTTTGAAAATATGGCAGTTCTTCTGCCCCAGACTCCCAGATGCTAAGATTGCAGATGGGACCCACCTTGTCTGGCCTTTGGTACTTATCATTTCCCCACAGTTCTGTTCTTGCATGTTCTATTCCTGGTTGGATTTTTCCTTTTTTTATTTATTTTTGAATTTAAATTAGAAACGATTGTTTTACATGACAATTCCAGTTCCCTGTCCCTCCCCTCCTCCCCTGCCCCCACTAACATCCTACCTATCCTATACCATTTCTGCTCCCCAGAGAGAATGAGGTCCTCCATTGGGGTGGTCTTCAGAGTCATATCCTTTGGAAGAGGGCCCTAGGCGCTCCCCCATGTGTCTAGGCTGAGGAAGTACCCCTCTATGGGAAATGGGATTCCAAAGTCCATTCCTAGGGATACGTACTGATCTACTACAAGAAGCCCCATAGATTTCTGAGGCCTCCTCACTGACACCCACATTCATAGGATCTGGATCAGTTCCATGCTGGTTTCCCAGTGGTCAGTCTGGGGGCCAAGACTTCCCACTTGTTCAAGACAGCTGTTTCTGTGGGTTTCATCAGCCTGGTCTTGTCCACTTTACTTATTACTACTCCTTCTCTGCAACTGGATTCTAGTTCAGTTCAGTGTTTAGCTGTTGGTATCTGCTTCTACTTCCATCACCTGCTGGATGAAGGCTCTAGGATGGCGCATAAGTTAGACATCAATCTCATTATCAGGGCTAGGCATTTAAGGTAGCCTCTCCTCTGTTGCTTAGAAGATTAGTTGGTATCATCCTTGAAGATCTCTGAACATTTCCCTAGTGCCTGAATTCTCTTTAAACCTATACTGGCTCCCTCTCTGATGGTATCTCTTATTTTGCTCTGCTCTATTCTTCCCCCTACACAACCTTCCTGCTCCTTTATGTCCTCCTCACTCCTCCTCTTCTCCCCTTCTCATTCTACTAGCTCCCTTTCCCCTCCCCCCATTCTCCCAATTTGCTCAGGAGATCTTGTCTGTTTCCCATTGTCCTGGGGACCATGTGTGTGTCTCTTAGAGTCCTCCTTGTTGCCTAACTTCTCTAGTGGTGTGGATTATAGGCTGGTAATCCTTTGCTCTATGTGTAAAATCTATATATGATTGAGTGCATATCATGTTTGTCTTTTTGTGAGTGGGTTACCTCGCTCAGGATGGTTTCTTCTAGTTCCATCCATTTGCCTGTAAATTTCAAGATACCATTGTTTTTTTTCCACTGAATAGTACTCCATTGTGTAAATGTACCACATTTTCTCTATCCATTCTTCGGTTGAGGGGCATCTAGGCTGCTTCCAGTTTCTGGTTATTACAAATAGGCTGCTATGAACATAGTTGAACAGATATCCTTGGTGTAGAAATGTATTCCCCTTTCTCCACATCCTCTCAGCATAAACTGTCATTGGTGTTTTTGATATTAGCCATTCTGATAGGAGTAAGATGGTGTATCTCAGAGTTGTTTTGATTTGCATTTCCCTGATGGCTAAGGATGTTGAACACTTTCTTATGTGTCTTTTAGCCATTTTAGCTTCCTCTATTGAGAATTGTCTATTTAGTTCTGTTCCCCACTTTTTAATTGGATTGTTTGGTGTTTTGGAGACTAGCTTCTTGAGTTCTTTGTATAGTTTGGAGATCAGCCCTCTGTCAGATGTGGGGTTGGTGAATATCTTTTCCCAGTCTGTTGGCTGCCTTTTTGTCTTGATGACTGTGTCCTTTGCCTTACAGAAGCTTCTCCGTTTCAGGAGGTCCCATTTATAATTGTTGATTTCGGTGTCTGTTCTACAGGTGTAATGTTCAGAAAGTTGTCTCCTGTACCAACTCGTTCAAGGGTACTTCCCACTTTGTCTTCTAATAGGTTCAGTGTGGCTGGATTTATGTTGAGGTCTTTGATCCATTTGGACTTAAGTTTTGTGCATGGCGATAGACATAGATCTATCCGCAGTCTTCTACATGCCAGCATACAGTTATGCCAGCACCATTTGTTAAAGATACTCTCCTCATTCCAATGTATATCTTTAGCTTCTTTGTCAAAATCAGGTGTATTGGCCTTTCCTCAAGCTTACTGGTTCCTTCCTTAGTCCTGTCTAGTCTCCTGATGAGCCAACTAAGGGCATTCTTCATTTTACATTTTTACCTCAGTTTGTATCCTTTTTCTCATGTATTACCCATGTCTTCTTGCATGCTGTCCGTTTTTTTCCACTAGAGTTTTTCTAATATTACCCATTGTTCTTGGCTTTGTTTTTGAGACAAAGCCTCACTCTATAGCCCAGGCTGGCATTGAATCCCTGAGTGATCCTCCTACTTTCTGCCCACCCCTCTGCCTAGTTGTATGCCAACATTGCCAGTTGTTTTGTACCGTGAACACTATAGACAGTAGAGGTGAAATATACCATTTCTTGTTAGGGGACAGCTTGACTTCTCCATGCTTGATGACACATGTAAGTGTTTTCTGCAGCAATAGGATCTTACCATCAGGTTATAGGGAGCAACCAATGGCCATGTAAATAGCCTGTAATGTTTATGTCTTTCCATGGGTCTCCTTTGGGCTGCGACTAAACAAGATGTAACCGTTAACTGGCACTAGAGGTTTTACTTAGTGGCTTAAGATGTCTAGATGGGGCACTGTCTCCCCTGTTAGACATTGATTTTGAATTTGTATCCATATACCAGAATCCACACCAAGGCAAATATCTGAGATTAATGATTGTTTTTTCCTATATACCCCAACATTCATAACCCACAAAATAACCAAAAGCCTCCCACATCATTTACTTGGAATGTGGGTGAAGGCATCTTTAGGAGTTCCAGAGAGAAAATTTAAGATAATGACCAAGTCCTGGAAAGACCAGTTATAACCTTTGTTGATAGAGATCACCTGTCAAGTTTCAGATGTTTTCCCTTGATCAGATCAGATCAACCTGGAACACATCCACAGGCTATTTCCTGTGGAAACAAAAGTAAAACCACTTCTCCAAAGCATTTTTTTATTTCCATTTAACAAATACAATTTTTGATCTTTTAAAAGTTAAGGCAAAGTATCTATGCTAGTTTATTTCTACAATCCCCTTTTCCAGGTCTCCTAGCAACTGTCCTTTGCTTTTCAGCAGTCAAAAAGTTCAAAATCAACACACTAGCATACAGGATCCAAACTCCCTGTGTATTTCCCATCTTTATGTGGCTTTTTTCTTTTATTCTGTCTCTTTAAAGACTTTATTATTTCTAATCTATTTATTTCTTTAGATGTCTGTACACATTTTCTTTTCTTTCTTAAGCCACATAGTAAAACATACTGGAACCTGTTTAGAGGTTTTTCCATCTGCATCTCTTTTACTGCGTATCTCTAGTCTTTTTTGAGGGCTGGGGCAAACTTTAGACTGTTAAGCTTTACCTGGGTCCTCTGTGTGCCTCGGTATCAGCTGGCTCCGCCCACTCTTGGATCAGATCATGAAAGGGAAGCCTAGAGCTCACAACCTTGTGGGAAATTAATGACCGAGAACTGCATTAAACCTTTCTAGCTGTAAAAGCCAGCTGAGTTGCCACAAGCAGTTTCCTGTTTTTTTTTTTTTTTTTTTTTTTTTTTTTTTTTTTTTTTTGCTTTTTGTTGTTGTTTGTTTTAGTTTTACGAGACAAGGAGCAGTTTTTACTTAGCTTGCCATTTCTAGTTTGTTTCTAGTTCTGTTTAGAGCTGCTGACTGAACAGCTCTTAAAGGAGAGCCTAGTGTGTTTTCAAGGTTTCTGAGGCTCAAGATGGATATCTGAGCTCCATGTTGGTACGCCATTTTGTTGTGTTAAATGTTTTGCTCTTTTGGCTTTTGGCCTTTTGGGGGGGCCATCACCCAGGCCCCAAGTAAATTACACATTCGTAGTTATGAGTGCCCGACCTTAGCTTAACTTGTTTCTAGCCAGTTTTTCTTATCTTTAAGTTAACCAGTCTACCTTTTCCCCTCCTGGCTTTTATCTTTCTTCTGTATATCTTACTTTCCCTCTTACTCCATGGCTGGCTGGCTGGCTGGCTGGCTGGTCAGTCCCAGACATTCTCCTCCTTGTACTCTTGTTTCTCCTTCTATTTATACCCTCTGCCTGCCGTCCTTTCCTATCCTTGTTTTTGCCTTGCTATTGACCATTCAGCTCTTTATTGAACCATCAACTGTTTTAGATCAGCAAAGAATCACAGCTTCACCGAGTAAACAAAGACAACATAAACAAAAGTCACACACCTTAAAATAATATTCTACCGAATAATATAACTTGAAATCTGAGATTGTGATAACTCTAGCACTTTTATTATTCAGGATTCCTTGAGCTATTCTGGGTCTTTTGTGTTCCCATCGGATTTGGAGATTTGTTTTTTTCAGCTTCTGTGAAGAATTGTGTTGGAATTTTTATGGGGATTATACTGAACCTGTATATTGCTTTTGGTAGGATGGCCATTATCACAATATTAATCCTACTTATCTAGGACATGGGAGATCTTTCCATCATCTGGTATCTTCAGTTTCTCTAAGTTTTATTATACAGGTCCTTCACTTGCTTGGTTAAGTTATCCCAAGATACTTTATTCTATTTTGTGAGGCTATTCTAGGTACCCTTTCCCTGATTTCTTTCTCAGTCCATCATTTGTATAAGAAAGCTACTGATTTTTCTTTTTAATTTTGTACCATGCTACTTTGCTGAAAGTATTTATCAGCTGTAAATTTTCCTGGTTTGAGTTTCTAGAGTCTTTTATATATAAAATTATATAATCTGCAAATAAAGACAATTTGACTTCTTTTTCTATTTCTATTTCCCTTAATCTCTCAATGCTCTAGCTAATTACTATATTGAGTAGGAATGGAAAGAGTGGACATCCTTGTCTTGTTCCTGTTTTTAGCGGATATGCTTTATGTTTAATCTGTTTAGGTTGATATTGGCTATGGGCTTGCTTTAAATTGCCTTTATTATGTTGAGGTATGTCCTTTGTATGCCTAGTCTCTCCAGGACTTTTATTATGAAATGATGTTAGAGTTTGTCAAAGGCCTTTCTGCATTTATGAGATGATCATGTGGTTTTTGTCTTTCAGTCTGTTTATGCAGTGCATTATATTTATCAGTTTCCATATGTTGAAACAACCCTGCATCTCTGGGATGGAACCAACTTATTCATGGTAGATAATCTTTTGATGTGTTGGTTTGCAAGGTTTTTATTTTTGGGTTTTGTTTTTGTTTTTTTGTTTTTGATACAGGGTTTCTCTGTGTAGCTTTGGAGCCTGACCTGAAACTCACTCTATAGACCTGGCTGGCCTCAAACTCACAGATATCCACCTGCCTCTGCCTCCCTAGTGCTAGGATTAAAGATGTGCCCCACCACTGCCCACCATGGTTTGCAAGTATTTTTTTGAGAGTGTTTTACATCTATATTCCTAAGGGATATGGGCGTGTAGGTTTTTTTGTGGAATCTTTGTGTGGTTTTGGTATTAATGTAGTAGTGGCCTTACAAAAATAATTAGGAAATGTTCCTTTAGTGTCTGTTTTGTGGAATAATTTGAGGAATGTTAGCATTAATTCTTTGAAGATCTGGTAAAATTTTGCACTGAATCCATCTGGCCCTGGGCTTTTTGTTTTGTTTTGTTTTGTTTTGCTTGTTTGTTTTGGTTATTAGACTTTAATTATTGCTTCTATTTCACTAGGGGTAATGGGTCTGTTTAAATTGTGTATTTATTCTTGGGTTTAACTTTGGCAGGTCTTACACATCAAGAAATCCATCTATTTCTTTTAGGTTTTCCAGATTGGTAAACTGCAGATTTTTCTAAGTATGTACTTAGGAGTCTCTGAATGTCCTTGATGTCTGTTGTGATGTCCCCTTTTTGTCTCTAATTTTATTAATTTATTTCTTCCCTCTCTGTCTTTTAGTTAATTTAACTAAAGATGGACTTGTGCTCTATGCAAATGTTATACCATTTTATATTAAGGACTTGAACATCTTCAGGTTTTCTGTCTGTAAGAAGTCCTAGAAAAGACCCTCATACTGTGCTATCTTAGCAGCTCCTCTGCTGGGAGAAGAGATCCCTAGAGGCCAAATGTAGTTTTCTTTTATAATGTATTTCCCTTTGAGAGTTTTCCACAGTACTTTGAGCACATGAAAAAGTAACATTAGAAAGAAAATTAAGAGTCTGTTTATAATTGATGCTTTAGCATATTCAGACAAGACATATTTAGTCAACAGATAAAAATACTTGGCAAGAATTGCAGTATAGAGATAGAGATCTTGTTGCATGACTTCTACAGCTTTGCAGTCTGCCTTGGAAGGCTTTGTTCTTTTTGAATGTCTTTTACACTGTTGAGCAGAAAAGAGCCTGATGGCAATGTTCTAATCCCTTTCTATAGCACAGATTTTGCATGTTGCATGTATCTACTCTTAATAAAGGGAGAAGATTGTCAACCTGTTTTGTGGCCATTGAAGCTAATACTCCAAACCCCATGTGGGGCGCCAGGGGGACCCCTGGACTTGAGCTCCAGTAGCACAAGCAAAGTACCTCTCGTTTTTATTATTAAAGCAAACAAAACATGAGATGGTGATTATAGTTAGTTTAAGCAAAAACAAGTACATCGGGAAAGTACACCTGGTGTTAGAACCTATCTTTGGTCATGTGAAGGAGCCAAGAATATTCTTCCCAGGCCTTTGCCTTTTCCACAGAAATAACGTGGACATGTTAGGTCATTCCCTTCACTTCCATGCTTTCATGTCCATTTGCTTACAGTAGTTTATGCAACTCTTTCTAGAAAGATACTTTGTGGGTCTATATTCTGCCCCATTCATAGTTCACAGTAAGTTAACAGTTTTCTCACTTGGGCTCCCACAGAAGACAGGGTTAAAAATGTCACAGGAGTGTGTTATTTTACATTAAAATAGAAACCTTAGCAAATTTGGTGGAAATCAAATCTTGACATTTATATTTGGAATTATTCTTTGTTGAAAAACATCCCATAAAACACTTAGTAAAGTGCTTTAATCTGTGCTTTGTTACAGGTAATACAAGGACCTGTGGAATATGAGTGATGACAAACCTTTTCTATGCACTGCCCCTGGGTGTGGCCAGGTAATATATCCATTACTTATAATAATCTTGTATGTTTCTTTTCATTAAATCATTGCTAGAATATATTGTCATTAAGGTTTTACTACAGTGATTTTTATAAGATTAGAATTAGGATAAAAGCTAAAAAGAAAAACATTTAAAAATTCTTTCATTAATTTACCCTAGTTCTAGAAAAGACAGTGTGCTATGGTAGAAGTAGTTTATCTTATATTAAAGGTCAGAGCCATAGACAGAAACCTTAGACTCCAAAGAATATTATTTGATCTATATTCATTAAAAATCATTGCTAAACTACCTAATTGGAATCCAAAAATGTATTGCTGCATTTAGAAATTTACTTATTTGAACGTTTATAAAACTAGCTGATACCTACCTCAGACAGTATCACTAATCTATTAATGTTCTGAAGTCTAACATCTTTAATTCAAAGCATGTGTGGAAGCATTTTCAGGCAATGATATTTTAATTTTTAATTGACATTAAATTATTAATTACTATTACTATCATCCTAATCTTTCTAACTACAGATACTAAAAATGAATCATTTTTTAATGTGCAGTAAACTTAGAGTACTTACATACAGAGTTAAGTCATAGATATTGAAGTACCATACTGGTTTTCATTTATTTTTAGGTGATATTTTAAGTTCACATATAATTGACCTATAGTTCACAGTTTGATGCTTTTGGCTTTTTTGTTTTTACAAATATTGACTTTGTTGATGTGTTGGTGGGTTTGTAAATGTTTGTTTGTGGCACACACATGCCACATCTGGCATGTGGATGTCAGAGAACACCCTGTAGGAATCAGTTCCCTCTTTTCATACCTGATGGGTGTGTGGGGATCAAATTCAGGTCATCAGACTTGGAAGTAAGCACCTTTACCTACTGAGGTGTACCACCTTACCCATTGATATAATTTTTCATGTGTATGTATGTTCATAGAACTGCTAACCACCGTCATAATATTGAACATACTTGTAATACAAGTTCTAATAGGTCTTAATAATAAAAGCTCAGAGTTAGATATAGGGGGGAAATGCTGAGAGATCAGAGAGATGAAGGAGCAAAACCACAGCCACCTTACCTACTAAACTTCCCAGCCAAAAAGAGTGAACTCCTGTCTCCTCCCATGTTATCACTTCCTTTCTCTGCCCAGCCATATCACTTCCTGTTTGTCTGTACAGACCTCCAGGCCTCTACGGTTAACTAGTGTCTAGTTCTGCCTTCTAAACTTCAGGCAAGCTTTATTTGTTAGAGTATAAACAGTATATCACTACATTTTCCTTTTTTCTCTAAAATAAAAGATTATAACTAATGTAAGAGAAACTATGTACAATAACTATATACAATATATACAGGCAATAAATACATCAACCATGTCTAGTCTAGATTATGCAATCTTTTCCTGGGGTTTTATTACCCCTTTCTGTTTATTTGGCATATCCTTTAGAGTTCGATTTGATCTTTCTATAACTGCCTGCCCTGTGTAGGATTGTGTAGTATACCTGTAATATGCTTTATATTGTAATGAGCAAAAAACTGTTTCATTTTACTGGAGACATATGCTGTAGCATTGTCAGTCTTGATTTGTACAGGTATCCCCGTGATGGCCATAACTTCTAACAAATATAGGATTACAGAATCAGCCTTTTTAGAACTTAAAGCATTGCCCATTGCAATCCTAAATAGGTATCAATGGTGTGGTGAACATAATTTAATTTTCCAAATTGTACAAAATGAAATACATCCATCTGCCAGATTTCATTCCTTTGAGTACCCTTTGGGTTCCTTTGTGCAGATAGTGGAGTTTGGTTGTATAAAGAACAAGTAGGACATTTCCTTATACTTTCCTTGGCTTGTTGCCAAATGATAGAAAAGTTTTTTGTTTTTTTTTTTAACCTTTGCTATTGACATTTTTTTTTTTTTTATGAAGTTTTCAGTCCTCCAGCATATTTCCTATCAATAGTTGATAAATTTCATCATTGTCATATTCTGGCAGACCCTTACGGAATTGGATCCTGCTTACTTCTTGTAACTGAATAAATAATAAAGTCAATCTGTGTCATCTGGTGTAAATTCAGAAATTTCAATATGCAAAACAACTTTCTGCATAATGCAAATCAGTAACTATGTTGAGAGGTTCTATAAAATCAATACCATGAGAATAGCATATAATTATGGCTTTTGAACAGAATTATAAGAACTTAGATCTACTTAAATTTTCTGATTTGCCTTTTCTGATTTATTTGCATCAGTATAGAATGTAGGGGCTCCAGATGTTGGTGTTCCCCATACAATGTGAGGAAGGATCCAGTTAGTTCTCTTTATAAATTGAATTTTCTTGCTTTTGGGATATTTGTTGTTAATCTCTCCCAAAAAATTACTGCAAGCTCTTTGCCAAGGTTCACTTTCTGCCCATAATTTGTTGATTTCATTAGTAAAAGATACTACAGTTTTTGCTGGGTCTAGTCCTGCTAATTGATGAAGTCTCAGTTTTTCTCTTAGAATCAACTCAGAGACATTTTCTACATAAGTTTTTAATTTTTTGCTCTGTTTATGTGGTAAAAAGATCCATTAATATTGCTGTAGGAGAATGCTTAGAGGCTAAAATAACCAAAATGCAATCAAGTTTTGGATCCAAACAATCCACATGTGCACCCTATAATTTCTTTCTACCAAAGCCAGTTTTTTTTGATTCAGATGATAATTCTCTTAGACTATTTAAGTCCTTGTAACCATATTAAGGTTTTGAACAAATTATTCAGTTCATTTTTTTTTCTATTTCAATAGTGGGCCTTAGATAGGAAATGTCTCTTAGCAATCTTTGAAAGTCATTAAGAGTCAGCAGTCAATTTCTCCTAATTTGTATCATTTGAGGTCCAATTTTCTATAGACCTATTTTATATTCTAATTAATAGAATATACTCTCTGTAGGCAAAATTTTCTTCTTCAAACATTCTAAAGTATCTACATTTGAATAAAATGTCATACACATAGTGGTAAACTATAGATTGAGGAAAGTGCTTAAGTATTATTTCCAATGGCTGACTTACAAAATATTGGCACAGGGTGGCACTATTTAACATTCCCTGTGGGAGAACTTTCCATTGAGATCTCTTAACAAAGTCCAAATTAGAAGTAGGCTCTGAGAAGGCAAATTTTTCTACCTTTTTTCTTGTAAAGATTTAGTGAAAAAGCAGTCTTTTAAATCAATAACTATAAGAGGCCATCTTTTAGGTAATAAAAAAGGCAAAGGAATTCCAGACTGTACAGTGGCCATTGGCTGAATCACCTTATTAACAGCTCTTACATCTGTTACCATTCTCCATATTTCTTTTTAATAGCAAATACAGGAGACTTCCTAGAGCTGGTTGATTATTCAATATGTGAGCATTTAGCTGCACTTGTACCAGTTGTTCTAAGGCCTGAAGTTTCTCTGTTGTTAAAGGCCTTTGCACAACCCATTCAGATTTGTTTGCCAACCATTTTAAAGGTAGGGCTATTGGTGCCTTTGAAAGATCAGCAGCTGTTGTGCACTGTTGTTGTAAAATCTGAATGGTCAGTGACTGTTCTTTATAATACCTTCTAATATTTTTCCCAGAAACATATTTTTCCCATATTCATGGTTTGTTTCTGAGATTGGAGGAATGTTAATCTGAGTATTCCACTACGGTAACAAATCACATCCCCTTAAATTCATTGCTATGGTAGCAACATATGGCTTTAATTTTCCTCTCTGTCCTTCTGGCCCTATACTTTTGACCCATCTTGCACTCTGTTTTACCTGACATAAAGTTCCAATCCGTAAAAGCTGAACATTTACCTCCTGAAGAGGACAATTTGGATGCCAATATTCTGGTGCAATTATTGTGACATTCGCACCTGTGTCTACAAGGCCTTCATTGACAATATCATTTATTCATATTTTTAATTTTGGTCTTTGTTCATTTATAGAAGTTTGCCAAATAATTGCTTTATGGTTTCTCCTGAATTTTTTCTTCTTTCTTCTATAGCTTTTCTATTATTCGGAGCAATGTGGTTTCTTGTAATAGATTAGGTTCTTTTATTACTCTGGGAAGGAGTTTCCTCCATGGTTACAGGAAATGACTGAACTGAATTTGGTATGGGGGCCTCGGGGAGGTCCCTCAAGGCGTTTCCCACTGGCAAAGGCTTACCTTGACTGCCCCTTGTTGACCTACATTCACTTGTCCAAAGCCTGCCTTTGCCACACCTTCTGCATAATCCAGAAGGGAGGGGCATTCTATTTGAATTATGCTTAGAAAAACATGTTTTTTTGTTTGTTTGTTTGTTTTTTATGATTGCCCACAGTCCTTGTTTAAGTGACCTTGCTTGCCACAATTGAAAACTTGACATTTTGATTTTTCTTAAAAACCTAGAAATCACCTCTCGTGTCCCTGCATCATCATGTCATGAGATTCAATGTAGATTGTATCTTGGATCCTTTCCTCCAAGGGTGCTGATCTTTCCTTTAACAGTCTGATTACTCCTTTGCATTGTGTATTAGCATTTTCAAAAGCCAGAGATTGAATTATTTGTCTAGCACCTGAATGAAGTCAGTCTTTGTAAGAAATCTGTGAAAGCTTCCTTTGTATTACTTTAGTATTACTTTGTATTACTTTAGTAAATGACTCAGTGTTCTTTCCTACTTCTCCATTTCTGTCCAGAGCATTCAAAGCTGCTGTGTAGCATAAATCCAAGACATGGCCATCATATAGAGATTGCCTTTGTACATCAGTGTAATCTCCCTCTTCAAGAAGTTGGTCTTGGGAGATTTCCATTTCACTAGGCCTGCTTCATTGTTCAGTGGTTTTAGCCTCATCCTTCCATCACATCTTTCACTATAATTGAGGACCAGACCGTAAAACAGCTTTAACCAAGTCTCTCCAATATCTGTTACAAATTGACCACGAGTTTAACATCTGCTTCACAAAAGGTGAATGCATGCCATAAGAGACTATTGCTTCTTTGAGTCTCCTT